GTAGCATCCAGGACTTTATATTCAAAATACAGTAAGTAAGTGTGTCCATCTGTCCAGTGTCTTGAGGAGACACAGCAACACAGAGCTGAGTGTGAACCGTGTCTTCTCATGACACCAAGTATTTACTAACTAAAAGGCAGGGGTCCTAAAGTTGTTCCTTGTGGTACACCACAGGTAATCTCATAGTTTTTGTACGAGTGATCAGTTTTCACAAAGATCTCTCTCTACCAAGGTGTGTAAATATATATTTATTTATATATATATAAATAAATTAAACTCCCATGTAGGCTGATTTAATATATTTAAAAGAGTTTATGCTCAATGGTTTTAGTAGTTTATAACGTTTTGTTTCTGTTGTTGAGTAAAGTTTATTTAGGAATGAGCGTTTTCTGTTTGCACCGTTTTGTTCATTTTAGTTTTAGAGACGTTGAAGTTTCACAGTTTTAGACCATCATTAACTTTGATAACTTTTAAAGTGTAGAAATGTGTGCGCCCCCAACAGGAACAACATTAAACCCAAACAAAACTCCTGGTTGACTTCACTCATCAGGGGCAGCGCCGGTGTTTTATTGTGAAAGGTGTTCAGGAGCAGTCCGTCCTGTCCTATGAGCTGATTTATGTCCTGAAATATTAAACCCATTCAGAGCTCACGGGTCGGCTCCGGTTCTGTTTAACGAGTTAATGACGGCCGGGCTCGTCTTTGTCCTCTCTGCTGTCCCACTGATCGGGTCGGGTGGATTTGTCCTGTAAACACCGGTGGACTTTTGTTCCTCAAGCAGGTTTTCAGTAAATCGCGTGCCTTTGCGGTTCATTTCCGCCGGCCTCGTGTTTCAGTTCAGTTTACAGCAGTTTATGAATTTATTAAAGTTTATAGAACCAAACATAAAACTATAGTTTTGAATAATAGAATAAAATAAATCTTATTTCTGTAACTCTGTAAAAGTAAATTTTAGCTAAGAAGTTGCTTCTCTTGTTAAAGTGATCGGCCATTTTTAAAGATATTGAGCTGTCAATGATCCCTAACAGACTCTGACTGAAAATCAAAAATCTAAAAATGGCCGCCTTATCTAAAAGAAAAAAAAAGATAACTCTGCCATTTTTTGTGATATTGAGCTGCAGCTCGGTGACAACGATCCCAAACACATGGTACTGTCAAATCAACAATCTTAAATCGGCAGCCCCTGTCAAAGTTTCTCCAAGTTTCCAGTGTTTATTCCACTTTTCATCTAAGGACCACCCTGTTACTTTAATGGAGCAATGCATTCTGGGAGGATGGTGTCCACAGTTTGCAGTGGAGACTAATGTT